ATGACTCTTTACGATCAAACTCTGCATAAACAGCAAAAGAATCAGAGTCATTTGAATAATTTCTGACAAGAATATTTTTAACTAAACAAACTTTTTTTATCTATTGCAAAGCAGTTGTTTCCAATTTCATGACAAACTAGAAACTGAGAACCAAAATATTGTTTAAATTATGAGAGGTGATGTAATGGCAATGGAACTGGACCATGGAAATGCTTTTTGAAGTGAAATCAGCAACATTTGTTTGAGAGTATTGTAAGTGGCACTCTGACAATCTACATATAACTTGTGTAACAGGGGACTGTGGAAATGGGATTAAGTTCTTAAATCTTCCTAAATAAATTTAAAGAGAAAAGGAAGATGCATTGTCTAGTGCTCCAAATCTCCGAACCTCGTCTGGCAAGTATAAGCGATTGCATATTATATACATACTGGTCATTTCCATATAACATGCAAAAGTTTGATACAAAATACTTTCATAGTTTTTCAGAATAATGTTTGTAGATGTTACATAAGGATAGGCTAATATTATTATTTTAATAGCTAATGACAGACACAGAAAATTAACACAGAAAATTTTTTTAGGCAAAATGCTACTCAAAACAACCATACCAGAATAATATAGATTTTGCCTAAGTTCTGTTGCCTTCCATTGTTTATATTCAGAGAGTGATCTAGGCTTTCGTGGAAATTCTTGAGGAGTATAAGATTCAACTGCAACGAGTTTATCAGATATCAAATCTATTGCTGCACATGAAAATCTATGAGCAGACAAGCCATGTATTCATTAATTTTTAAGTCTTTGTCCAACTCCTAAACACATTAGATAGATATAATCAGAAGAAATCCACTAATCAAGCCAATATTTAAACTTAAAAGATGAGATATGAACTAAGTACTATGATGATCAGGGTCTTTTTTATTTGGAAGTCACTGTCAGTTCGCAAAACAGCAAATATATTAGGCAAAACAAGATTTCCAAGCCATCCTCCAGGTTGTACACACCTTTCACAAAAATTATAACTGTTATTAAGTTTAATGCACTTTGTAAATCTCGTGCTGGTTCAATACAAATAAAGGCTTTTATTTTTAAAGATTAACATTTCTCATTTTTTTTAAAGCCTGTCTGCTCTAGTATAATCATTACTGAAACAAAATCATTAAGGAAAGTTGGTTTGCTTTTAATAAAATATATCGCAATCAAAAATTGACTTCATCCATAATTTTTAACAGAGCAAAATATAGGCACTAAACTATTTGTTAAGCTTTTAAAAATCAGCAAAGCATTGCTTTATATTATTGCTTAACTTAATGCTGCTGCTAACCATTCGTGCGCGTTTTTACACAAAGTTTTATGAACATGCTTAGCCTTTTAGATATTTCTCTTTATATACTTTTGACCACGCGATGAGGTACTCTTGAATCTTAATAATCTTTTATTTTCTGCTTCATTTTTTTCAACTTTGCTTCATCAACTAGTAGTGATAAGGCAAATATTGTCTTCTTTTAGCCCCGGTTATGTAGACTTTATTTATACAACACGGCATTGTAGTCTTTTTTTTGAATGACAAAATAAAAAAATAAAAAAATAAAAAAAAAAAAAAACTTAATTAGTAAAAAGATGGACATATTTTGATTTTTAAATTAAAAGACGACGATGACTCCAAAAGACAATGCTTTTTTAAAGAGGTTAAATTCTTGATAAAGTTAGTGTTATATATAAATATAACATTAACTTTATCAAGAGTTTAACCTCTTGAAAACATCATATCTTCTTAACTCTTGCATCTCACACAGTTATATGTTAAAAAACAAGAAAAAACTACTTTAAATACCTTGCATTTAAAGAAGTTAAAAAAAATCTATTTGCTTTTATATAAAAAAAAACAGATCGTTTGTTTTTCCACGTTGTTAAACATTTATTATAGAAGGTATGTCATTAAACAAGTATCACAAAAATATAGTTGTATTTGTAAAGTTTCTAAATTATATATAGGTGTGTAAATATCATTTATGTGTTTGTAAATATCTTTTCAAATTGCTGTGATTTGAATTAGTTTACAGCAATGTTGTGTGATTTTGCTGTAAAAAAAGAGTGTTGATTTTGCTAGCCAAGTAGTGTAGTAGTTTTATTAAACAGATTTATACTTCACTAGCAGTAAGCAACCCGTAATACGGGTTCTTAGTAAATAATATTAAAAAAAAAAACGCGTATAGAAAAGCCTAGATACTACTTTAAAATAGAAAAGCCTAGAAAATAACGTAAGTAGACAATTAACAACTATTAAATTAGCGTAATAATTTTTCAGGATCAATAATTTTTATACTATTACTTTTTAACTAAATTTGTTTAAAAGATATATACTTATATATATATATATATATATATATATATATATATATATATATATATATATATATATATATATATATATATATATATATATATATATATATATATATATATATATATATATATATATATATATATATATTATATATATATATATATATATATATATATATATATATATATATATATATATATATATATATATATATATATAAACATATATATATATATATATATATATATATATATATATATATATATATATATATATATATATATATATAATAAAGTACATAAAATTTTCTATATATGTATAGAATATATATTAATGACATTTTTTTTTTTTAGAAAATTAGATATCTAAAAAAAACTTCAAATAATTAAACAAGTTTCAATATTTCCAAGTTTCTTCACTTGAAGTAAATATATGATTGTTTATGGAGTTTATCTTTTAATTGTTTTGTTTTCTTATATTAGTTACTTATTTCTTGCAAAGCTTGCATTAAATGCGTTTCAAAGTAATGACAGGGTTTTTATGATAAATGAATACATTTTATCCTTATATTTTAGCAGTACTTGTTGAGCAGACAGGCCTTGTTATTTTTAATTTGCTTTATTTATGAATTCTTAAATGTAAAAAATTTATTTTTTAAATTATTTTACAATTGTTTTTTTGAACAAATACTAATAATATTTTGTCAGTAATTAATAAAAACTACTTGAAATATGTAACAAAACTCAGTTTAAAAGATTATATTAAATTATTTTTAATATTTGTTTAACCTTTTAATAAAAGTATGTAATCTTAACACATTGCTATATATGGTAGAATATAAAAGATTATTATATTACGCCCTATATTATTTGCTTATACTTTATTTTAGATTATTTCTAAAAATGAAAACTCAAACTTCAACTTTTTATTATAATAAGCATCATTTTTACACACTCCTTTGATGCATGATTATGTCTGATAATTTAAGAAATGAAATTATAAGACTTCGTCAAAATGAAAGAAGTCAGGCTAGGCGAGCTGAGATAAACCGCCGTCGGAGTAAAAGAGATGAACTCAGGCGAGCTGAGAAAAACCGCCGTCGGAATGAAATAGATGATTCCAAACGAGCTAAAATAAATTGTAATCAAAATGAAAGAAATCAGGCTAGGCTAGAACTCAATAGGTATAATATTCATTGCATAGCAAGACATAATATTGCATGAGAGAGTAGTTACCTCGGAGAATTTAACCATAATTGTCAGTATTGTGGTGCGAAGAAATTTTTAAATGAAACTCATTTTTTATGCTGCCATTCAGGAAAAGTTGTGTTAGCTTCTCTGTCTCTATATCCACCATTGTTAATTAATTTAATGACAGGAAACCATAATGATTATGTTGTAAATCAAAACTTTTTTAAACATATAGAGAGTTATAACTCCTTTTCGTCTTTTGCTTTTTTTGACTGCCGAATTAGTTCCTCCCTTAAATAATGGTCCTTTTTGTTTTAGGGTCTGTGACAAATTTTGCATCGTGTTGGAAATTTGAAGCCTGCAGACGGCGATTAACCCAATTATCGTCAGTTATCTATGATCCTAATGCAGCTGTATCATTCAGAATGGAGCAACCTGCTAATGATGGTTGTATACGTGAGTTAATGCAACTTTTGCTAACATTACTTAATCAATAAAACACGTTTGCTCTTGCATTTAAAAACATGGCAGATGTAAAGGGTGAAGAAATCCGCCAAGCAGCTTTAGTAGACCAACTTCTGTTGTAAGAACGCCTTTGCTTGAAACGTCGATACAGTCTTCCTTCTCATGAGGAGGTCGCTATTGTATTTGAGGGAGATGATGGTGCTCCATTTGCATCCAGGTAAGTTGTTATATATATCCTCGAGGTCAGCCTTTAAAAACAATTTCGTCTATGTTTGCATATTTAGATCCACAATCAACTGGAGCACAACCCCGACTGTGCAACCCGTGTTAGAAGCTATGTTACTTTGTCTCAGTATTACAGTTATAGGCTTGCTGTTACACAAACTTTTAGTCCTATATTCTATGGTAAGAAATTTTTTTAGCAATATATTGTTGATGCATATGTCAAAGTTGAGCACAACGCATTGCTAATATTAGAAATAACCAAAACAAACTTAGAAGTGAACAATATGACGCATTGAATGAACATGTAATTAATCGTGCTAATTAACTTAATGTAAGGCCGCGTTGTTATATTGCCTCCTACATATGTTAGTAGTCCAAAACCACTTAAAGAAAACTTTGAAGATGCGATGGCAGTCATAAAGAAATATGGCAAACCAGATCTATTTATTACTTTGACCTGCAAACTAAAATGGAGAGAAATAGTAGAAAATTTAAACCATGGCCAAACTGCTAATGACAGACCTGATTTAGTTTGTAAATTTAAAATTAAACTTAAATTTTTATTAGAAGATGTTTTCAAGCATAGGGTCTTAGGCAAAGTTAAAGTCATGTGCATATTATTATGTTTCGAAAACGTGGCTCGCCACATGTACATATTTTATTGCACTTTGTAAATGCAGAAAAACTAGAAACAGCAGAAGATATTGACAGTTTGATATTAGCAGAAATTCCATAACCTAGCTGTTGATCCTGAGCCTTATGAAATTATAAAATCATGCATGGTAATGAACCATGTGGAATTTTAAATCTCAATTCTCCCTGCATTAAAGATGGAAAATGCACCAAAAAATTTCCTAAAGAATTTAATCCTCACACTGTTGCAACTTTTAATGGTTATCCACGCTATAGATGTGTCGATAACGAAAGAATTGTCAATATAAAAATTAATCAAGTTGATAACCGTTGGGTTGTACCTTATAACCCATGCGTTTCCAAAAAATATCAAACGCACATAAATGTTAAAGCCTGCGTGACCATAAAGTCAGTTAAGTATTTTTATAAGTACATTTACAAAAGGCTTGACTGTGCCAATTTAATGTTAAATAAGCAAGTTAATCATGATGAAATAAACACGTTTTTAAATTGTCGCTATGTTTCATCTCCAGAAGCATTGTGGCGATTATTTGAGTATTCTTTAAGTGATATGTCACATAACATCTTTCGACTTCAGGTTCATGTACCAGATAATCAAATGATATATTTGTAGAAGGTGAAGAGCAGGCAGCTTTAGACCATGCAGCACAAAATGACATTCATCATATTGAATGGATTAAAATAAAAGCTGAAAATGAACAAAAATGAAAAATGCTTAAATTTATCTGTATGTTGAAATTTCTTACCACTTTGTTTTTGATACCAAACATTGGAAATGGAAAGTTAGGCAAAGTGATAACAATAAGTTGATTGTTAGGATGTATAAAGTAAGTCCAATAGATGAAGTTTTTTATGTTTGAATGTTACTTTTGCATGTTAGAGGTCTAGTTTCTTTTGAAGATTTGCGTACTGTTAATGGTACATTCCGTGAAGCATGTTCTCAAATAGGTCTATTGCAAGACGACGCTGAATGGAGAAATTACGTTAACTGAGGCTGTTGCAACTTGGTTGCCTAATCAAATTAAACAATTGTTTTTCATTATTTTAACCCTCTGTGAACCTTTAAATCTTTGAAATGCTTTTAAAGATTTTATGAAGCAGAATTACATTCACCACTCTATGCCACCAATAAACGCTAAGCAGGCAGCCTTAAATGTCAAATTTATTAGAATGGTAAAACTTTAGCTAATTTTAATCATCCTATTGTAGATGAGGTTTTAGATTATGCCCTATAAAATGAAGAGGAAGATGTTCAGGTTTTAATTGACGAAGCAAATAGAGTTAGACTATTGTTTAATGATAATCAGCGTCAAATCGCTAATGCTATACATTTCTGCTCTAAGTGAGCAACCTTATGATGAAAACAAACAGATTTTTTTTTTCTAAAACCAGCAGTAGACATATTGTAACTGCAACATGTGTATGGATAGGAAAAGTTGCAATTCTCTTAAAAAAGGATGTACACTTCATGGTTTGTTCAAACTACCTGTGCCGACTTTGGAAAATAGCACATGCAATATAACTCCAAATTCTATACACGGACAATACCTTAGGCAAGTTAACCTGTATTTACTAGATAAGGCTTCCATGATACCCAAACACGCTAAATGTCATTAATAAGTTACTTCAAGATGTTTGCAATAACAGGTTTACTTTCGGTGTTAAATTTATTATTATGGGTGGCGACTTTAGGAAAATACTTCCGGTTGTAAAGAGAGAGCAACAAGCGCATAATGATGAAGCATTTTTAATTTTTTTTTTATTTATATGTAGCTACTGCTTCCTCTGGTACAAGAAAGTTGTTTTATTTACATATACTTGACTTCTTACATTGATTGATTGGTTTTATTGCTTTTTTTTTTTAATTTATTTATCTCTAGCTGCTGATTTTTCTGTTTCAAGTTAGCTTTTGTTTTCATTTATACTTGACTGATTACATTAATTGATAACTTTTATTGCATTTTTCATTTTTATTTAATTTATCTCTAGCTGCGGCTTCATCTGTTACAAGTAAGTTGTTGTGTTTGCTTACATCTGACATTATTACATTATGGTTTTATTACATTTTTTATTTTCTTTTATTTATATATAGCTGCTGCTGCTTCTGGTACAAGTAAGTTGTTCTATTCACTTATACTTATATATAGACTTATTACATTGACTGTTTAATTTAATTTTATTATTAATTGTTCTATTTCATTTCAGTTGCTGTGTCTTAAAATTCAAAAAGTTTTTGCACTTGCCATTAAGCTATTTCACTTTATTGTACCTTTTGTTTTTTAATATAACTATAGATGTGTTTTCCAGTTTAACCAGTTAATGTAATAAGTCAAACAAAAGTGAGTATAATAAATAAGTTGTTGTGCTTACTTGCACTTTAATACATTTATTAATTTTGTGTTTTTTTATAGTAGATTTTGTGTAAGTATCACCTTGTAAAGTTTTATTTATATATAATTTTTATTTCAGACTCGAAATCATGGGAAGATTTTCAAGAATATCGCTCCCAGCATCCCGGTCCTCTATCCCAGAGGGCATTCTATCGCTGATGTAGGTATGGGAAAAACTATCCTTCCTTTAGATCGAGGGATGGCAACCCATACAACATCAAGTAAAGAGAGGGTAGTAGTTAGAGAATGCCGGTTCTAGCTCATTTTCATTTTCAACCATATTTTCAACCATATATTAATATTAATATAGCGTTTAATGTTATCCCTGTTTATTTAATTTATTGTGTATAAATTATTTAGATAAGAAATAAATTTTCAATTTTTTAAAAAATTGAAAATTGAATTTTTTTAAATAAGTATTAATTTTTTATTTCTTGTCGAAAAATGACGTCACAGGTCACGTGATTTTCTTGCTGTGACGTCACATGACCTTTTCTAATAATAAATATTATTTTCTGTTTTTAACTTTTCTTCTTCTAATCTTTCCTTTTCTAACTTTTCAGCTTGTAATTTAAATTGTTTTTGCAAATAACGAGCTAAACTTAATCTTTTTTTTTTTTTTTTTTTTTTTTAGTGTTATTTATTTCGCCGTTAAAAAATTTTTACATTGCATATACATTTTTATAAATTGATGGCTGGAGCAAGAAGAAGGCACATTTCGCCTTATCGCCGAGCCCCATTAAAAATTCTACATAACCGTAACATACAAATATATATATAAAAGAAACAATTAGAAATGAAATAGAAAATAATTAATATAATAAAAAAAATAAAAAATAAGAATTAATTAAGAAGCGTTAAGATGCTTAACAGTTGCTAAAATGTTTAAGAAATAAGTTAATATATATAAAAAAAAAAAAAAATTCCTGAATATAAAAGAAATTGAAAAAATAAAAATCTCAAATTAACACTAAATGAATATCTAACATCATCACTTATGACATCATCACTTGTGACATCATCACTTGGATTTCTTTTTTTTTTTTTTTTTTTTTTTTTTTTTTTTTTTTTTTTTTTTTTTTTTTTTTTTCCTTTTTCTTTCTTTTCTTCTTCTTATAATCATATATCATTGATATTATTGAATCTGTTTTTTTTTATTTTTTTTATTGTGTTTACTTTAAAATAAACATTTAAAGTCGGATTTATTGAGATCCATGAACAATAATAATCGTTTTGATTCATCCTTAAATTGCTCTAATGTAGTCTGCTTTTTGTTAACAATATCTGGAAATTTCTTCCACAGATAAGGTCCGCGGTATTTAATTGAATAGGAAGTTAATTTTAATTTATGTTTTGGAACAACAAAATTGTTTTCTGAAAACTTTGTTGAGTACCTATGGTTAATTTTATTAAAATAAGATTGAAATATTTTAGGAGACAAATCCTTTTTTGTTTTAAACATAAACAATAAAACTTGGTGTAAATTAAGTTTATATACATTTAAAGCACCGAGCACACTTAGAAGTGGTTCGCAAGGAACATTTCTGTCGGCTCCAAATACTATTCTACATGCATGTTTTTGTTTATTGTAGAGTTTCTTTAGTTTTGTATGACTAGTACTAGCCCACACAACATTACAATAAGACAAATAACTGTGAATAAAGGCGAAGTATAATTTTTTCAGAGATGATATATTTAGAAAGGGTTTAGCCCTAAACATCATTGCAATATTTTTTGAGATTTTTTTTTCAATGCTATTTATATGTGAACACCATTTTAAATTTTCATCCAATTTTACTCCTAAAAAGTTTATGTAAGATTCCCTTTTAATATAAGTTTTATTAATATTAAGATCTGGTAATTTAAGAGGAATATTTTCTGATTTATTTACTTTATGGAAAAGCATATATTTTGTTTTTTCCGCATTTAGTGAAAGTTTATTACTTACGAACCATGCACTAACATTACATAACTGTTCGTTAACTATTTTAAAAAGTGATTTAATATCTCGGTGAGAACAAAAAAGATTTGAATCATCAGCAAACAAAATTAGGTCAAAAAGATTTGTTGATAGGTATAAGTCGTTTATGTACAATATAAATAAAAGTGGTCCTAAAATAGAACCCTGAAGAACCCCGCAAGTTATGGAGTGTGGAATTGTATTATTTTTATTATAGTATAAAAATTGCTTTCTGTTAGTCAGATAATCTTTGAACCAAAGTAAGTTTTTGTTTTTTACACCGTAGTTTTCGAGTTTTTTTATTAGTATATAGTGATTTACGGTATCAAAAGTTTTTGACAGATCAATGAAAACTCCTAATGTAAAACAGTCATTATCTAAGGCATTAGATATTTGATTGGAAAGTTCAACTACTGCGTGTTCAGTGGAATTTTTTTTTTTAAAACCAAATTGTTTACAATACAACATGTCGTTCTCAGTTAGATGATTATAAAGTCTGTTATACATTATTCTCTCTAGCAATTTTGAAAAACAAGGTAAGATTGATATAGGCCTGTAATTTAAAATATTTGACTTATCTCCAGATTTAAAAACTGGTGTTATACGGGCAATTTTTAATTTATTAGGAACAATACCTGACTTTAATGAGAGATTGAAAATGTGAAATAAAGGTTCAATGACTTCAAATACTGATTTTACAACATCAACACTAATTTTATCAAAACCTTCACTTTTTTTACTTTTGAGACTGCTAAATGCAGTTCTCAACTCACTCAGTTTTAAATCAGTTTCATCCATAAGTTTATCATAAGTTTTTAAGTATGAATCAAATGGAATTAGTAGAAATTTTAGCAGCCAAATTCGGGCCAATATTAACAAAGTAGTTGTTTAGTTCTTCAGCTATAATTGATTTTTCATAAACTAATTCTCCATTAATTAAAAGATTTTTTGGCAGAGTGCTTTTGTTATAATTATTTTTTCCAATTAAATCCTTAATTAAATTCCATATTTTTTTAGTGTTTCCGTTGGTTTTCTTTAATAATTGATCATAAAATAGTTTTTTTGAGTATTTTTTGATTTTTTCAAATATATTTTTATAATTTTTGTAAGTTATTTCATTTTTATAAGTTTTTTTTTTAAGATATTTTATATATAATTTTTCTTTCTTTTTTGAAGATTTTAGTAAGCCTTTAGACATCCAGGGAGCTTGAAGTGACTTGGTATTTATGACTTTTTTTATTTCTGGAAACGCTATTTCATATT